CGCTGGCGCTTCTCTGGGAAAGGAGGGCTGTGCAGGTCTTGGGGCCCACTCTTCCTCTGGCTGTCCCTCAAATACCTGTCTTCTAAAAGGGGTGCTTTTCTTTCTTGTTTTCGCCCCTGTCCTGCTCCCGTGGCCTCAGCTTCCATCTCTAAGCCAATGACTCATCCGGGCCTCTGTCTGCTCACCCCACACTTCCATCTGTGCTTCTTGCAGGTTCAAGGAGGGATCTAAGGATTCCCTGCGCCTCTCCACACCATCATCACCCAGCCACCAATCCAGCCTGAACCCAGAAGCTGTCCTTCCTGTCCCTCTGTCTGCCCCCACCACCCTGTCCTGATGCAGGCCTCCTGGTCGACCTGCCTGCACCTTCCTCCTCACCTCTCTCCCTTTGAATCTGGCCTGCACTAAGGCCGTGACCTCAAGGAGGGTTAGGCTCCTTCCTACGCTACCAAGCTGCTGCCAGTCACATTCTATTATCATAAATCTAGTCAGGATGTCCCACCCAGTGACAGAAGAATGCAGCTCAAGCATTTTAGATGGTTTTGCTCAGGCTTCTTTTCAGCCACACTGACTTGGATGTTTCTCGTATGTGCTGGGCTACTTCTGCCTTTGTGGCTTTGGTTTGTGGCGGTCCCTGCTCATGGAGGAAGAGCTTTCCTCCTGTTCTCTTCCCTCCATCTCTCCATCCTTGACTCCCACCTGCATCCTCTGTCTGACCAATACCCAGCTCCCTCCCTGTTCAGAGTCCAGAGTCCCATCTTCACAGAGAGCCTCTTCTCCTTCCCTTGTGTCCTTACAACCCTCTTCACCCAAAATGTGTTCAGTATTCCCCACGGCCTCTATTCCATGGAAACCTTAGACTAGGTGGGAGGAGAGGAGAGGCTCTTGGAAGAGAAGAGGGGAGTGATCCAGCAGTTGTTACCTTGCAGGAAGCGATGGGGGCCTGTGTTCACTGGAAACACAATAAATTCGAAAGAAGGCCTAAAAGAACATCATTAAAATTGCCTCTCCCTGACTTACTCTCTGCTCTTGCCCTTCTCTCTTCTCTGCCTTTTCTCTTTTTCACTTTCTCCTGTATTTTTTCTCCACTCCCTCCTTTTCCTGGCTTCTTCCTATCCCCTTTTCCTTCAGTAGGAACTTACACCAGCTCCAAGGCATGCCTGCCCTCTCTCCCTCGCCCTGCCTCTTGCCCCTCAGCCAGGTCTTTGAGGCTGGGCTTGTATCTGTCTTTCCAATTGCATCAGCTTGTCAGCTGCTGACCTAGTCATCTGCTTGGGAGAATCTAGCCAGGAGGACAGTGTTAGTGATAAATGAGGTCACAGGAGGAGGAAAGCATGGCAGCTTTTCAGATCTGCAGTTATCAATGGGATGTGACACCCATGTCAAATCCTTGGCCTGAAGTGCTAGTTAAAAGTTCTCCTGTAAAGAAAAGGACACAATAACCACGTGAGTGCTATGCTTAAGCTCTTCCTTCTAGAGGAGGTGTTTGCTTCTCCTTTTAAGATGCAAGGCCTCGTGGCCCCAAAATAACCCTCACATCTGTTTATACCCCTGCTAGAGGGAGGTGATGAATCACATCCACTTGATGGAGATGCAACGGTTATGGTAAGGTTCCAGAACCTTCTCAGTGCTGCACATGTACCCACGTGTTCTTTCTCAGCCTTGGCTTAGGAAGAGGACGCTGTGGATTCCCCTGCTCAGCAGTGTGAGTTAAGTGTGGGATAGGGAGAGTCTTCTGCCCTGTACACTTAGGGGCCTGGTGCAACCCAAGAATCTTATGGGAACGGGGATTCTTCCAGGCATCACAGAGTGACAAACAAAAGTGAGCAGTTAGCCCTAAAACCAAATGGGATCGGTGTGATTTTCTTCTCTGCCTGATGATATTTAATAGCAGGAATTCAGATTAGGTGTAAATAATATAAAGCCCAAAGGAGACAATTGCTGATGATTTTAAAACTCTATTCATTTGGAACAGAATCAGCCCAAGCATTTCTCTGATACGGTTGTCCCTAAAACTGTCTTCTATTGTGGCTGCCTGCTGAAGAGAAAAATGATGCCAAATAGGAGGTTGTTTGTAAGCAGTCCCTCTGCTCTGCTTAAAAATAAGTTAGATACATCAGAAACTGCTCACTGCTGTCATGAGAACATAGGGAAGAATGCAAAATTCTGCTTTTAARTTTAAGCAAACAAGTGGGCAGGGACATAAAGACCATCTAATCCAATCTCTTAATTTTGCAGCTGTGGAACTTGAGGCTCAGAGAGGCAAATAGTTACGGAGGCCAGTCAGCCCAGCACCCTTCCTCTGGGTTCCCTGCAGCCTTCAGTAAGGCTCAGATTCTTAAGTCCTGGGTAAGTAGAGCTAAGAGCTGGCTCCAGGAATTCCCACCAGTATTTACACCTAACAAGGCAAGAAACTATGGTTACCCAGTACCCAATTTACCACCAGGAGCTACTTCAGTAGCGGGAAGAGTGGTACCCAGGATGGCAGGCATGGCTGCCAGCAAAGGTATCGAGCAGGACAGTGCCGGGGGAATCCTGCAGGCACCTCTGGTTTACTAGGACTCCAAGAATACATGACCATTCCTTCTGCCAAGCACTCTAGTGGCTCTTGATCCAGGCAAGAAAGGGACCACACCTCTATCTGCCTGAAGGACAGACAACCAACCATTCCCAATCATTGCTGGAAAAACCCAGGTTTCCGCAGGAAATCCAATCCCCAGCTGTGTTTGCCACTCCATATGTAAGAGAAGGGCCTCAAGGAAGCATAAACACTTTCCTATTTAATCTGCATGCTTTGCAAGCCTGGAGTCCTGAGTGTGTTGGCCACGCTCCTGATTCCCAAGTCGAGGCGCAGAAACTGAAGTGTAGCAATCAGACATAATGGTTGAGCAGAGCCCGCCTCGATGCTTGCACAGTAGTGTGTTAATGAGTGTTAAAACTGACATCGCAAATACAGCGTTCTCAATATTTAAAATTACAACTCTGTAACAAGTCATGCTGTTAAAACATACAAGAAATACCAGTTAAGCCTTCAAGTAGACACCGCACAGCCCATATAGACCGCTGCTATCCCAAAGTGCATAACAAATCATTTTCTTGGAAACGAGGCAAGAATTAGCAGGTGGTTCCATTATTTGAGTACTAAGATAAGTAGAAATAACAAATCCAAATATTAAATACCAATTACTACCTGATGAGCTACAAATCAGCTCGGCATTACAACATGCCCCTCCTCAACAGCAAACCCAGAAAACATGGGGGTTTGGTGGAAAACACAAACCTATGACCAACGTGCATTCATGTAATAAATGTGTATCACTTCCCAACCTAGGCCTTTCAAAAAGCTTGTCCCATATATTGAGAGAAAACCCTGGCCCAAATATTTGTCCCAATGTTCTTTGAAAAGAACCATCTTCAAATGGTGGAAGTGATGCCGCTCTCAAGCCAACAGCTGGAAATGAGTCATAGCATTTCTACTTTGTCCTAAAGAAGGTTTACAGATCAGTCTGATAGCTTTGTGGCCAAACATGTCATCTCATGCTTGCTAAGAGTGGTGCAGAAAATTAACCTCCCTGATTAGTTTCTGGGACTAGAAGGAATTGCTACAAATAGGCAGAGTTATCTAGCAAGGTCAATCAAACACCTTGATTCTGAGACGGCTCATTTCAATGGGACCTTGGGGGAGGGGAGGGTTCCCTGGTCATAGTTTAGTCTCCATCTATTGTGGGAATTCACTGCAGTGTTCAAGCCAGCCGAGTTCTTATCTTTCAGTTATTTGAAACCACTATTTGGAAAACTTAATACTATTGAGATATTCTTAAGCTGAAAAGTGACTGAAGACCCCAGTAGGCAAAGGAATATTTTTACAAGTATATATGTGTGTGTGTGTATATATATATATATGTACAAGAGATGTTAAAAACACAGTCTCTAAAGCATTTTGGGATTCCCCCAAAGAAAGGCACCAGATAAATGCAAGTCATTACCAAAAAGAAAAGTCAAGTTTTCCAGCTTTTCGTATCTGCAAATGTAACCACTAAGGGTGGTAAAACTCTCTCTCTCTCTYTTTTTTTTTTTTTTGGTGGTAAAACTGCTTGTTTGGAAAGATCCTCAGGAAAGTGACTGAGTTATTCTGCCTCCTTCCTTGTTTCCACTTTGCACAGCTTTATGGTCAGTGACCATGGATACCACACTCAGTGACCCGATACCATCAACCCTGACAGATTTGTGACAGTACTCATAAGTTTGTACCATCACCTGCCTGCAGTGCAGCTGGGATGATTTTGTAAATTTTCTGCCCCCCAAGGCTGGAAAATAACATCCAAAGCCAAAAATTCCATGTGCAAAATCTGAAAAAATAACCCTGCTCTTCTGACTCACTGGTCTGTTGTCTTTAAGTCATCTCCCCTTTCCTGATGCTTCTAAGAAATATATATACATCTGCACATAGGCACTCTGTGCACATAGGCACATCTGCACATGGCCACCTCTCCCCCGAGCCCCCACCATGAGACTTCAGTCTGATGGAAGGATTTGAACTGGAGGCTCAAGGGCATAACTGGCCTATGTATTCAACCAACAAATCGCCCACACTGCAGTAGCTATGGCAACTACAAGTACACAAAGACCTCTGAGAATATCCTTTCCACACTCTTGTGAAGTATGGATTATCCTCAACCTACTAAAACACAAAATGGACCTCATAAGGGGAGGCCCAAGCTTTGGATAAAAGCCTGCCTAACTTCCTGCTTAGATCCCTGGATTCTACAGCCTTGCAGAAGACTGAACTATAATGAAAGCCACCTGGAAAACCATTAGATTACCTAGAAGATGACAGAAAAGGATTATCTTACAAAGGGGCCAGGTTCCCCTTCTCAATGTTATATGCTGGTTAACTAAAGAGGAGGTAGGGCGTTTTGGAGAAGAAATATAAGCTTAGCAGTTTAAAGGTCTTTTAAACAGCCTTATGCTATTCAAGAAGTTTACAATTATTTATGACATTTTATGAAGTAGAAATTTTTTGTTTTATAACTTTTGCCTGGCCTCTACCCACCCTCCCCCAATAAATGGCAATTGGAATGGAAATAAAACTTTAGTGTTTCCATCCTGGGTAAGCCACACTGTCTTCATGCACATCTAAATTTTGAGTATACACTTCTATATCACCATGTCATGGTAGGAATTCAGGGCAACCTTAACATCAAATGCAATGTACAATATCCTAGAAGCAAAACTATCTGGGCAAATTCTGCTTGGAATTAAAAGGTATCTTATTTTATGAGCTTTTAGAGCAGTCAACAAAAGTATTTAAGCTACTGCTCTTGCTAGCAACCTAATAATGTTCCCCTCAGGGAGACAATACAACAGTAAGCCTCTTCTAGGCTGAGAAAGACAACACAACCTAATTCTTAAATGTCTTAAAAATTAAATATTTCAAAAACATGCTAATATCTAAGACAGCAAACTTTGGTCAATGGCTTAGACCAGGAACCTACCYCAGCCAGAAATAAATGTCTCTATGATCACCCTAGGAAAGAGGGAGGCCTAGCCATGAATGATAGAGCTTAGATTGCATGGACTCTCGGACTCAGATTTAAGCATCCTGGGAGTTGGCCTATGTTCAGCTGAAGTCCCTGTCCCTAATGTATGTCTTCTTTGGGAAAAATAAACTTATCTTCACTACATGTTTAACAGTAACATTCTCCAAAGAGTGACATTTACAAGACAAACATCAGTATATATCTTTCTAAAAATGTTTGGTACACCCATGCAAGCCACAGAGCTACAGATATTTAGAAAAACAACTCACAGGCTTGCATTGGTCCTGTGTGCTTAACTTTGCATTCTCTTTGATTTGGTATTAAAACTAAATGAAAGCAAGGGATAAACAACTGAGGTTTTTTTCACATGACTGTGAGCAAAATCTCATGATATCCTTGCTGACCTCATAGATAGATACGTTTCCACTGGACAGATTTGAGGGGACTTTTTGTATAGAACTCACACAACAACCTCAGAAACAGGAACACAAAGAACTCACACATAATACCAGGGCACAAGCACTAGAATAGTGTACATGGTGGACAGAGAAATTGGCATTCTGGGTACTCATCTGGCAGAAAGATGAACATTTTATGCCCACGATGCAAAGACCAGTGAGTGTCATTTCGTTGAAAGGTGCAAAGGCATGGTGTTAGACACACCACCCTCTAAAAATGATTCTAAACACTGCAAAAGCAACCGGGGACGCATATCCCATGCATCTCTCCCCTCTGGGGTTGCGCAGACTCCTTACGCCACAACCTTAAGGTGCCTGTACTGTGCCAGAAGCACAAGAGGCAGCTCAGCAATGTGGGTTTGAGGATAGCAAGTCCTCCCAGCTAATGTAGGGAATCATTTAAACTCAGTTCACTTGGTGAACTCCTGCTCATGTTCGTCAGGCTCGCCATGAGGGATTTAACTTTATGGGCATAATAGTCCCTTAAATTGACAGAAGGGACCTCCTTCATTCCATCTCCAAAGTCACAGCTGCGCATGGCACTCTCAAGTTGCTTTTGGCGGCGATAAAAGTGGGAGAACTTATTGAAGATCAAGGTGATGGGCAGTACTACCACAAGGATACCTGCCAAGATGCAGGCAGAGGCAGTCAGTTTCCCTGCTGTGGTCCCTGGGACCACATCCCCATAACCCACTGTGGTCATACTGACTGTAGCCCACCACCAGCAGGCAGGGATGGTGGCCAGGCCCTCATTCTCCTCCTTTTCAATAGTGTAGGCCACCACAGAGAAGATGGAGATTCCCACAGAGAGGTACAGCAAGAGCAGCCCTACTTCTTTGTAGCTGTATTTCAAGGTGGCCCCGAGAGATCGGAGGCCAGTGGAGTGTCTAGCAAGCTTTAAGATGCGGAAGATCCGCATCAGCCTCAGGACCTGGGCCACCCTGCCCAAGTTGGCCAAAGTAGGTGTACTTTCCACCACCAGGTTCACCACTAGAGTAATGTAAAATGGGACAATGGACATGAGGTCAATAAGGTTTAGAGCATTCTTGAAGAACTTGAGGAAATCAGGGGCCACAGCAAACCTGGCCACAAGCTCAAATGTGAACCARGCAATGCCAAAGTGCTCCACAATTTCAAATCTGGGGTCCTCACCAGGATTGCCCTGGCCATCAGGGATTTGGAAATCTGGTAGGCTATTGAGGCACATGGTGATGATGGACCCCAACACCACCAGGATGGACAGGATGCTAAAGACCCTACTCAGTACTGAGTAGCCAGGGTTGTCCAGCGCCAGCCACAGCTGCCTACGGAAGTTGCCCAGGGGCTGCCCATCAAACTTGGAGGCGTCGTTGTAGAAGGCCAGGATCTCATCAAAGGAGGATGTGGTGCTTTCCTGGTCACTCTGCTCATCCCACTTCTCCTGCTCAGGTTCCACTTTGCGACCGTGATAGCTGTAGCTGCAACAGGAGTCGATGAAGAACTCGTTGATGCCCCAGTATTCAATCTCCTGGCTGAAGGAGAAGACGCACAGCTCGGCCATGACGTGAAGTTTGCCGGTGTGGTAGAAATGCAACACGTAAGGGAAGAGTTCGGGGTTGCGGTCGAAATAAAACTCACGCTGGACATCGTCGTAGTCATCGCAGAGCTCCAGAATGGCCTCGCGCGAGTGGCAGAGCAGTAGGCGGCCCAGGCGCGTCTCCGGGAAGCGCAGCAGCGTGTGCGAGCGCAGCCGTCTCTTGAAGCCGCCCACATTGATGCGGATCTCCCCATCCTCGACGTTGGCCTCCGACAGGTCCCACAGGCTCTGGCCGGTCATGCTGGAGATGCCCTGCAGCCCGCGCCGCGCGGGGGCGCTACACCTGAAAGCCCAGGGAACCGAACAGCGTGAGCGCCCGGCGCTCCCCGCCCCTGCGCCCTTCTCCTTCTCCGCAGGGATACCTGCTGGCCCAGTACTCTCCAGGCGGGTCTCTGAGTGCTGAAGGGCACTGAGGTGGGGAAACAGCTCTGTGGGGGTTGGCCTTCTCCCAAGGAAAGGCAGGGGTCTATGTACTGGTTTGGCAGCGCCTCCACTCCCACCCCAGGGGTCTTAGCATCGCTTTTTTCGTGCCAGGGTCGCGCCCCAGCGGCTCTGAGAGCCCAGGGGGTTGAGAGCTGACCTTGCCGGTAGGCAGGCRGAGAAGACGCCCCCGCCCGCGCGCCGCAGACAGGCGGGACCACAGCTGAGATACGCACCGGCAGGGCTGGGCCGAGAAGGGGGACACGCAGATTTGGGAGGGGGCGGGGAAATTTACCGCTCTAGTCTCCCGGGCCGGGAGAAAGGGGGACAGCTCGGCGTCCCCTGTGTTCAGCCCCCACGACTGGAGCCCCTTTTGCATGTTCCCTCCCTGGCTTCCCCCGCCCTCCTGGCGCGGTGCCCCGGGGCCGCGTGCGCTGCGCCTTAACCCAGCGGAGCTGCCCGGGCTCGCCCTGCGCGTTCTGGAAGCACTTACCTGGGAGCATCAGCGCCCGCGGCCGAGGCCGGCGGGAAACTTGCACGACCTGCTGGCGAGCATCTCAGCGGTGTCCGCTGCCGGCTGGCTGTGCGTGTGCGCGCGGGTGCGAGTGTGTGTGCGCCTGTGTGTGCGCCCGGCGGGCCAGCGGGCGGGGTCCACCCAGCGTTTCCTCCAGTCTCCGGCCCTGCACTCGGCAGCCGCCCGCAGTTGCGAGAGGCTCACAGGTGGCTGCGTGGCCCCAACGCTCCTGGAGCCCCTGTCTCCGGATCCGCGCGCCCCTCACCCTCCGAGAGAGGCAGGAACCCACGCCGCAGGCGCCCGCGGAGCAGGAGCGGGAGCTGAGCTGGTGCGCTTTGGCGCGGTCCCTGCGCTGGGGCGCGGCGCGGTGGTGCTGAACGGACAGCTCCGCGCGCCTCAGCCGGGGGCGCGGCTGTCGCCCCAGACTCTGAAGATGCAGCAGCAGCAGCAGCAGCAGCAGCAGCAACAGCAACAGCAGCAGCAGATTCTCTGCGCTCCTCCTGCGTGTCACTGCGACCTTCCTTGTGCCCCCAGCTCAGCGCGGGGCCGACACCTTTCCCTATCCCCGACACATCCTCCGATGACAGCTGCTGTTGCCATCACCCCCAGGTCGCAGACAGAGGGTTGCCTTCGGTGACCTCGCCCTACTGGGTCTGTCAGGAGATCTATGACTTGTGCGTGTCCAAGGATTAGGGCAGAACCAGAAATCTCCGGGTTTTCCAGTTTAGGGACCTGAAGAAAAGTTTCCCCAAGCCTGAATCTGGGGTTGTTGGGAAACTGAAGCTGGATGGAAGAGAAAGAGGTCAGGGAAGCCTAAGGTTGAGCTTGGTTTAGCTTGCCAGAGGGTTTGGGAGAGGGCCCGGCAGGGGCGCAGGGCCCCTCAGTGTGGGAGGGAGTCATGGAGTTCTGTTTGGGAACTCTGAGTGGGCGCCGTGTGTGTACAGGCTAGTATGGTGTGTGGGCTGTAGGGGAGTACATGTGTGTGTGCATGTGTGTGATCTGAGAACAGTAGGAATTTCCAGACAGTGAAATAGTTCCTCTGATGGGTGGGGAGATGTGTGCAGTGTCAGTACAGGCAGAATCCGGACTTGTGTGTGATGTGTGCTGGGTGCAGTGTCTGAACCCAGCATAGATGTGCTAAGTATCTGTATCCCCATTCACAAGACTTGTGCCCCAGATCTGAGTTCCTGGTGTCCTAGGATTGTCCTTAAAGCTCTCCTGATGAGCTGAGATGAGAAATGGACCTGAAGTCCCTGTGAGTCCCTTCCCTTTGGTCTCTCAGCCTTTTCCATGGTCCCCATTTGCAATAACTGGAGCACTGTGGAGTGTGCAAACTTAATAGGGAGATAGCGTCTACATGTCATGGTCAGAAATCCTGGATCAGCCCTTGTAGGGTGCCTGGATTCATAGGACAGCCACCACAGCCACAGTGAGAAGCACATCCTCTTAACACAGCTGTGGCAATGCCATCCCTCTCCACTCTGTGTAGCAGTAGAGTGCTTTGGGAGAATCCTTGATCTGGCGTCATGTGGGGACTCCTGGATGCAAGCCTGACCCATCACCTGTGCCAACCGCTTGCCTTTGAGTGTGTGTGTGTGTGTGTGTGTGTGTGTGTGTATGTGTGTGTGTGACTATATATATATATATATATAGAGAGAGAGAGAGAGAGAGAGAGAGAGATGGCATTTGGAGTCTTTGTGTCTATTTCTATCAGAATCTGTTTGGGCATATTTTCACCTTATTCTCTGTCTAAGTCTGCTCGATCTAACACTTGTGCTCTCCGACACCTGGTCGGGCTGCAATCCAAAGGCCTCTGGGCTCCATCCCCACAGGAGTGCTGCTAAGAGTGTGCCAGCCTTTGCAGAGGGTGCGTGTTTTGGTGCATGTGTAATCACTGGGTTGCTGCTTCTTTCACTCTTTTCAATCCCCTCCCACACCTTGGGGGAGAGTGGCTCGAGGTTTCCCTGCTTTAGGTGCCTTTAGCAGCACCAGAGGACAACCTTAGCAGCCCTGCTGCTCTCTCTAGCCTTCATCATCCTCTACCTCCGGCCATCCCAAAGCTTGGCTTCACTGCCATATGTCTGTGGCTTTTGCTGAGTGCCATCTTTTATTCCCAGTCACTCCCACTCCTATGGCCTTAGCTTCTGACTCTTCTGGTTGTATTCTATGGATAAATCACCTTTACCTTCTTTGAGGTCCCCTCTCCTACAAACTCTTGGGTTTGATGGCTCTGGGGTTTTCCTTCCTCCCCTGCTTTATTTATCTGCCTGTTCCTTCTGCTCCTGCCTGTTTTTTGTTCTTGCTTGTTCCTTCTTCCTTTGTGGTTGTGGGAGACTTTGCCCATATATAGATAGGGCCCCTCTGTCTTCTCTTTGTCTCTCCCACACCAGGCTGCTGGGGCTCTACCTGGCCGCTGGGGCTCTACCTGGCCACTGGGGCTCTCACCCCTCCTATATCTCTATTAGGGGCTGCTCCATGCCCTCCCAGCACTGCTCCCAGCCCCCACCCCTGCCAACCTCCTTCTGCCTCCCACCTTTCCTTTCACTCACTCCTCCCCCTTGTCCCCTTCCATGCCCTGAGCTACACTGGTGCTCCTCATCGGTGTCTGCTGCCTTTGGTTAGCTTTTCCTGTGAGGCTGGGGCCAGGAACAAGCCTCCATGTGCACCTTTCCTGAAACATCAAAGTGAACTTGGGGAGAAGTTTGTGGCATATCAGTTATTTCTTGGAAAGGCTGAGGTGGAAGCTTTTGGGTCTGACAGGTGCCTTTGCAGAGGGTTAAGTGTATGTGACAGGCAGAGCCACTTGTTTATTTCCCAGTCACTGTGCTGAAGAGAAATGGAGCCGTCTTCTTCCTTCTGTACGGGGGAAGCTAGCTTTGTTTATGCTTTATTTAAAGGTCTGAGTCCTGATCTTAAAATACAGCTGCCTGCTCCCTGTGCATGTCAAGGCTGGCCTGGGGAGATCATGAGGAGGGCACCCTGGGAAGGGGGACCAGGGAACTCCAGGGAGTGGCCAGGATTCTTGCACCTAGGTGATTAATAGCTCTGTCTCCCCTGCCAAAGCAGAGCTCAGCTGAGCCCACACATCTCAGACTCAGCTTTTCCTCCCTGACAGGAAAGGGGGCTGCATTAGTGGCTTAGCTGAGGGAGCTGGGCTCCTTGACCTACATTCCCTACTACCAAGAGGAGCGGAGTCCCTGTCCTTCTCATGGGCCATGATCACAGGTATGCCTGAGACTCTGATGGCATGTGCTATTCACCTGTGCCCGTCCTGCTGCCCACCAGCCACCCTCCCACTGCAGCCCAAGTGTCTCCTAAAAAAGCACATCYGAGTCATGTCCTTTCCTTCTGAAAACCTTCCAGGGGTTTCCCATTGTACTGGGGAGGAAAACCACTCACCTACTCCCAGACCTTCCATGATGTGCCCTGGACAGCCCACCTCCCAGATGGCGTCCCCTTTCGCTTCTCTACCCATTGTGCCTCAGCCACATGTCCTCTTTGCTTCCTGTGCAGGACCTCTGCACCCACTATTCTGTCCACTTTTTATGGCAGCTTCACACGACAGGCTTCGTCTTGTGACACTCAATAGTTGTAGAATACATAATTAAATGACAAATGAAGGAGACTCAACTGCTATGTTAAGTTATTCTATGCCAGCTAGAGTCTTGATCCCAACTCTTGTTCCTCCTGATGGGTCAAAAGGGGGCCTGGAGGGGTGTTGCTGTGCCTGGGACTTTGGTCTGGAGCCCCCAGGTTCTGGGGTGCTCTCCCCAGCAACCAATTTGATCTAGCAACCTAGTTGGATCTGTCCCTAGCTGCACATTAGAATCACCTGGGGAGTTTTAAAAATAGCCAATGTTCTGAAAATAGAAGGGAAAGCAATAGAGTAGAGGAAGGGGCTGAGGGAGGAGAGAGGGGAAAAAGAGATACTTGGGATAAAACTGACCAAATTGTTGTGTGCACATATGAGTATGTGACAATGACTCCCACCATCATGGATAATTATAATGCACTGATAAAAAATGAATTGTACAACAAAATAACCAGTGCTCCTAGATGCCTTGAGTTTCACACCAAACCAATTAAATCAGAATTTCTGGGTGGAGGACATGAGAAATCAATGTTTTCGTAAAGCTGTCTGTGTGAGTCCAGTGTGGAGCCAAGGTTGAGAGCCTGAGCAACCCACCTAGAGCTGTGTGCCCAGGAGCCTGTACCCAGTGGTCAGCACCAAGGGCAGGGACTGCATCTCAGTTTGGTAGTTTCTCCCACTGCCCACTTCCTGGGGGGACACCCGCCTGCAGTGAGTACATCACAAAGCCTCTGTGTCTTAGCCATCATGTCCCTCCATCCCAGCATCCTGCAGGAATCCTTGTGATTGTTCCTCTGAGAATCCTTTACTGTGGGGATAATTTGTAATTAACAATAGCTACAGTTTCTTCTCCTTAGAAGGCAGTGGGCTCCTGAGCTGTTATGTATTGACTGTGGTATGGGACTGAGGACAAGTTCTGTCTGGGTGGATCAACAGTGAGAAGGACACAGAGAAGTTTCTGGGGATTGGGGACAGAAGCCTGCCTGGGAGAGATGAGGAAAGCAGGAAAGGGAGATCCTGAGTGGAGGAAGCCATGTTTGAGCCTTGGGAAGGCTGAGTGGATGAAGGGAATGATGAAGAGAAAAGTTGGGGGTAAAGGGTCATACAAAGTTTAGCTGCACATTGTGAATGCAATTCCTCATTAAGTGTTTTGTCAGGAGGCAACAGTAAATGAAAATGTAGTTTTGCATTGTCTCTAAATGTGGGACTGCATTTTCTTAATGGTTGTGAGTCTTATGTAGGCCTTTTGGCTTTATCCCCAGAGGCTATCTCCCTTATCCAATGACCTCCCCTATATCCCTGTGTGCTCCCTGGAGCCCGACAGGAGACAGCAGGCTGTGGTTGTTGAGAAGCCCCTTGATAAAAAGGGGATCAGGTCCTCCACACCTGGCATGCACAAGGTCTGCTCCTGGAGAGCTGGAGTCTCACCTTTTATGCTTCTACTTTGAGTCCCTTCTGCAGGGGAGGAGAAGTGGGGAGGGCTACTCTCTTGGTCCTTCCACCGAATTCCCAGAACATCCTAGGGCAAAGCTGGAATAATTGAGAGAAACTTGATTAAATTGAGACTTAGCATCACCATAACCATTTAATGACATTAGGACAACATGGCTGCAGAAGTGGGAGCAGGCACCTTCCTCTAGGAGCCACTCCCAGCCCCACCCTCACCTGGGGGCCTGGCCATCTTTCCCCTCTTGCCCAGGTCCTCCTTAAACT